CAGTTCGGGGCCAGGGGTGTGCTTGGGGGCGGATGGTTGGGACTGTGATGGCCAGTCCATCTGCTTCCCTTGTCGTCGAGGACGACAAGGGAAGCAGATGGAAATTGTCAGCTTTTCACTTAGCCCTGGATCAGGATGAGTCCAGCAGCAGAACTTCAGTCTGGACTGAGGAGAGTCCAGACAAACTCATCTGACCGGTTCTGGTTCTGGTCGGACCCAGATCATCTACCTTGAGGAACCAGAGTCAGGATAGAACCAGGGATCTGACCGGTTCTGGTTCTGTTGGTCTGGATGAAAACGCTTCAGCAAAAACGATTTTTATTCAGTAAATATTTAAATGATCCAAAATCTAAAATCTAAAAACCTGGAAGATTTTTACTGTTTTCTGTTTTCATCAGAGTTTAAATTAAAAACATCAAATTTCCTCTGAAGTTTTTCTGCTTTTTTCTTTATTTTATTTTTCAAACCACTGATCGGTTCTGGTTCTGGTCGGATCCACATTCACGTCTCTGTTTGGAGACTCGACCAGGTTTTCAGAAAACATGATTTAATGAAACATTTTAAAGGTTTCAGAGTCTAAATGCTGAGATGGTTGTTAGTTTCCTGTTTTGATCAGAAACTGAAGGAAACTTCAGACGTTTCTCTGCTGCTGCTGATCAAACTGCAGCATCTCAACATTTATTATCTCATGTTGGAGCCAAAACATTTCATTTCCTACAACTAAAACCTGCAGAGCAAAACAGACAAACATGCTTTTATATCATGGTGTATTTTCTAGTATTTTCTGCTGGAAGCAAATATTTTAGTAATCGATCGATTATTCTGACGAGTGATCAGATAAAAACAGATCAAATAAAACTTTGGTAAATCTAACATAACAGCAGTTTTACTACTGAATATCAACATCAGTCCAATTTTTCACTTTTGAGTTTTTCTAACAATAATCTTTCTGTAGTTTATTAAATTAACTCGTAACAATAAAAGCTCGATTTCCAAGTTAACCTGAAGAAAAGTTACAAGAATCTGAAATTATATTCAATCCAATAATAAAGAGTCAGGCTCACAAATAAGCTTATAAAAATGCTTCAACTTTTCCTTTATGTATTGATCTCCAGTCAGTTTGATAGATGACCTTTGACCTTGCCCAGACATTTATGTGTTCATGTCAGCGACGGGATTCGACTCCTTCGTTCGTCAGACAGAAACATCAACCAGCTCCGTGGCTCCATGATGAGCTTCACATTTACTGAGACCAGGATGAAATAAATTCATTTCCTGTTCGTCCGTAAAGCAACATTTACGTTAATTATCTGATGCAGAGCCGCCTGCAGCGTTCAGTCGACCTGCTAACCTGGATAAATACACCTGCAGCGTTCAGTCGACCTGCTCACCTGGATAAATACACCTGCAGCGTTCAGTCGACCTGCTCACCTGGATAAATACACCTGCAGCGTTCAGTCGACCTGCTCACCTGGATAAATACACCTGCAGCGTTCAGTCGACCTGCTCACCTGGATAAATACACCTGCAGCGTTCAGTCGACCTGCTCACCTGGATAAATACACCTGCAGCGTTCAGTCGACCTGCTCACCTGGATAAATACACCTGCAGCGTTCAGTCGACCTGCTCACCTGGATAAATACACCTGCAGCGTTCAGTCGACCTGCTCACCTGGATAAATACACCTGCAGCTCCTGCAGGAGAAAAGCTGCTGAACTCCAGGCATCGTTATTTTAAAGATGCTTATTGATCCCCGAAAAAAGACCCAGATATTATCATCAATCAATAAAATCCTCCCAGCCGAAGTGGAAAAACTGGACGTTATGCTGCTAACACTTAGCTTTAGTCAGCAGCTCAGGCAGAAATGAGAACGATGTGCAGCACAAGTAACGACCCGGCAGGAACTCGGCGCCTTAAATAATAAAATATAACTTAACGAAGCTTTGAGGAAGAAAACATTTTCCTCCAGGAAGTTTAATAATCGAGGAACTAGAATCACTCATAATATTGAGAATAGAGGCTCCATCTTTTCAACAACAACAATAAAACTGTTGTTGTTTAAAACTTTCTCAGTTTGGATCTTCATAATAATTTATTGGACGTTTTTTGTTAATTAATGTAAATTAATATCTTGGTAAAATTACATCAGTGATTATATTAGTTAGCAAAAGTTAGCAATTAAAGTTAATTTAATTTAAATTCATATCCTCAAAAAGTTTCTAAATATCAGTGTGTGTGTGTGTGTGTGTGTGTGTGTGTGTGTGTGTGTGTGTGTGTGTGTGTGTGTGTGTGTGTGTGTGTGTGTGTCCTACTTCCCATAAGCAACAACAAAAATTATCAATAAACGGTGAAATTAACACAAACCTCCAGTTTGGTTGAGACGTTGCTTCACAATGTCAATGTTGGCTTTGAAGCTCTCCTGGGCTCCCTGAGCTACTTGAGTGTTTCTCTCCCAGTACTCCTGATCCATGTTCTCCTTCATCCAGTCCTGTTTTGGGACGACCTTCTGTGTGTCGCTGTCGTAGTAATTAACCTGAACATCATCGACCAACGTAAGAGCCACAAACTCTGGGAAGTTTTTGACTTGAGAGGATGCAGTGTAGAAATACTTCAGAGAATGAGAAACTGAAAAAAAGACAATGAGATTTAAGAATTTATAAATTAACCAAATAATTAAACAAATCAAACAGCAACTTTTTCAATTATAATAATAACATTCAATCTTAACATTAAAAAATATTCAAAAAGCTTTTTATTACATTTTATTGATCATATATTTATTATAATCAGTTTTATGTTATGAAACTATTTATATTCTATTTTAAATAACTAGCTTTGTTTTGCGTTTATTTATTATAATTATAGACCAACATAAAATTATAAAAATATACTTAATTTAGGATTTATCAATATATTACATAAATAAGCCACTAAATTGTTTTACTGTTTTATTATAGTTTGAATTTTAAAAACATTTCAGTTTCTTTCATTATTATTTTTTAAGCTGATGTTTCATTTAATATTTATACAAATTAATGTCACATTCAACTTGGATTTTATTAATTATGTTTTATGGTGAAAAATGAACTGATGGTGAAACAGAAAGAAAATATTTTCTGTTGACAGAAATAAGAAAATAAATAAAAATAGTCCAACATCAAATGAGGTACAAGGATCATAAGTTAAACTAAATAATGTACTTCTGATTAAATCTCATATTTTAATGGTTTTTTCTCAACATTAACATATTTCCTACTTTCCTGCATCGTTTTTTAAGAAAATGTTCAGTTTATCAAATAGTAAGTAAAGAGAAAACAAATGTTTTTAAATCAACATTTTTTATTTTTCCCAAATCAAATGTTTAAATGTCAAATATGTTTGGGACATTTATTTAAGTTTATCTAATTATTTGGTTATTAGTCTCCACATTAAACTTGACTAGATTAATAAATTGTCACTTATATAATAATAATTTATAAATATTATTCTAACTTACCAGCTTCAGAGCTGCAGATTCCGAAGAGAAGCAAAAACCCAAAACGGATCATTTTGTCCGTCATGCATATCCAACTCGGATCTCTTTGCCATTACAGACTGAATTTCTCTCCACTGAGGTTTTTTTTATTATCTAGAGTCTAAAAGGGGCGGAAACCTGAATCTGAACCAATGGCAACATTTTCTGTCTGGTGACGTCACCTATATCCAGGTAAAATCTCCCTGTTGGGGTTGTGATCGAAAATGAAACTAATTTGTTTTATATCAGGCGGTGACGTCAGACGATGACGCGTTTTGATGGTTTTCATCAACATGGAGACATTTTCATGTTTTACTGCCATTTATTTCTAAAACTGATAAAACTTTCAGTTGCATTTTAGTCTCAGTTTCCTGGTGAAACAAGGAAGAATTAATTTCCAGTTTAAGTAGAATAATTTAATTATCATCCGTCCAGCTTCAACATTTGGTCCCATTAAATACTGAATGATTTTAAAGCTCAGTAAGTTTCTGTGGTGAAGTTCGCCCTCTAGTGGTTGCAGCTTCACACATCTGATTCTTCTCACAATGTTTAGTTTTTCCTCGTTTTTAGATTTTAAATTCAGAAATAAACAAGTTAATTGATAAAATCGCTTCAGAAAAACAGAGGTTTGGTTTTACAACATAAATGTTGGAATATTAATTTGGTTCCATGAAACTGAATGAAGAATAATTTGGCTTCAGTTACTCATAATTGATATGTTTTGTATTTAATATGTGTTTATACATATATTTAGATTTTTGCTAATTTGTTTTACTTGTGAATGAGTTTAATTCACGTTTTATTAATTTTTCTGTGAAATGTAATAAAAATTAAATGATAGAAAAATCATAAAGTCATAACTAATTTAATGAGCCATTTGCAATTTCATTGTTCTGACCATGTGTATTTAGACTTGCATCTCTGAAAAAAACATTATGCAACTTTATTAATTTATTACAGAGTAATAACATAGTTAACCCTTAAAATTTGTTTGCACGTAATTGGTTTTCTGATATATGATTCACATAAAATTGTGCCTAAATGCAAGAAACTTTGTCTCTGACTGCTAGCAACTTTTGTCTCTAAGTGCAGGAGGCCCGGAGGCAGCCCGCAGGCAGCCGGCAGGAGGTCAGGAGGCGGCCCGCAGGCAGGCCGCAAGAGGCCCGCAGGAGGCCCGCAGGTGGCCCGCAAGCGTTCAAAGGAACGATGAGTTTATGTGAATACTCTGTGGAAAGAAAATAAAAATATGCACATTAATCCCCATGTGCTAAAATCAACATTACAATCAGTGAGATTATTTATAGTCTATACATGTTGCTTTGTTATTTATATTTCTGTAAGTAGCTGGTTAGTTTTCGAGTTAATATTTGGTAAAGAAACATGTGAAGCTGCTGAACAAGTGAAAACAGATAAATCAACATAAAAATGTATACTTCTACATTCATGTATAAAAATAAAAAAATTGCAGCACCTCTATTTCCCCAAATTATCCTTCAGTTCTCATTTTATTCTCACCATAGTTGCTCAGTATTTGTGTTTTCTCCAGTTTGAAGACAAGGTCATCTTTGAGACCAAGGAGCTGAAACACACATTCATACTTTGTCCAGTCCTCAGTAGGAACAGATGACAGATCGATGTAAACGCTCATCTGGAAGGTTCTGTCATTGTTAGGAAGAATCTCCCGTTTATCTACTCCATCATGAATCTCCTCTTCGTCTCTCCTCCAGAACATCTCAGCTCTGCTGGGATAGAAACCTGTAGCGAAGCAGCAGACTGGAGAGGATGGAGACTTCTGGAGGAGAGACACTGAAGGAACATCTGAGGAGAAAAATACAATAGTAATGTTGGTTAAAAGGTGGCAGCACAAAAAGCAGAAATAAACAAAATAAGAGTAAAAGACTCTTCCCCATCAAAAAACAATCAAGCTCAGGGAAAAGGAAAGTCCTCAAATCCTCAAACTTGAAAACTGATTGTATAATTTCACAGGTTTAGTATTAAACACAAAATCAACATGGAAAATGTACAAAAACATTCAGCAATGTGAGACATATAAACATGTGACAAAAAGGTCATTGTAATAAATAAATAAATAAAATGTGCTGAATACTAAACTATGCATTGTTCTACCCGTTTTCAGCAGAGAGTTCTTCCCATAATCCAAATAATTTTTCAGCCAATCAGGACAAGTTTGGGTGATGTAGTTGTTTGTCAGTGCCGTCTTCCTTTTGTCGTCGTCCCATTTGTTTTTGGTGATTAAAGCCTGATGTACTGGAGCAGACCATCTCTGTGTTTCCAGGTCAAATGCGATGAAGTCCTCTCCATCATAACCAAAGTTTTCCCAACCTTGAACATCTTCATATTCATCATCAAACTCACAGCCATACATATTCTGGAAGATATGAACACCTGAGAAACAGAAACATCATGAGATCAAGTGTGAAAGTTGCTTCACCACAAACAGCAGGACAGAGGCTACAAGCCAGATTATTTCTGCCATTGCTTTGAAATTTAAAACCACATTTCACCAAACATTGAAGAAATAATTTAACATTATGGCTCATTTAAACTGTGTAAATACATCTTGCAAGCAAATGACTTTGTGCAATTCCTTAAAGATTCTCTATGTGAGTTTAAGAAGAGAATGAAATAACTGGAATGTTATGGTTTTAGTCACACTGATCTCTAAACAGTCCTAATAATAATGAATAAAATGCCATAATCTTATTAATAAGTCAAGCTGATATTCTAACAGTAGTAAACTGACAAACCTCCAGTTTGCTTGAATCGTTGCTTTGCAGCTTCGATGCTGTTCATGAAGGACATCTGGGTTCTTGATAACTTATGTGTTTGAAAGTCCCAGTACTGTGGATCATCCTCTGTGACTTTCTTCATCCAGTCCTGTTTGGGAATCGCTTTCTTAATGCTGCTGTCATAATACATGAACTGGTTTCCATCAACCAGACCAACAGCCACAAACTCTGGAAAACTATGGATTCCAGACGATGCAGTATAAAAATACTGCAGAGAATGACGCCCTGCAAGCAGAAACTATATTACAATTTCAATTTTTGCAACTTGAAACTGGTTGCAATAAATGTTTTTGTGAAGAGATAAGAAAAAACAAATAAATATAGGACTCCAAGAGAAATCAACCAACCTGTCCTGAACACAGATTAGCTTTGCTGTGACTTACTTTGTGCTGCTTTTTGGTTAGCTTGATAATGACCTGACTTTGTGCTGCAGTTTGCAAGTTTATGACATGTTGCCATTTTTTGTTGCCCACATTTTCAAACCTTCTGTAGGATTTGAACCTAAAGCTTCAAACCATTTCTTCATTTTTCTAATTCTGCAGTTGGATAGTTACCAACATTTTTCATCAAATATATATTTTTTTCATGTTTCATTACCAACAATAAAGAGATTTATGGCACTGATATTGTATTTCAGATATTCTTTAAACACCTCTTGCAGACCTGGAAGTGACCTTTGAGCAGCAAATCAAGTTTACTCACAAACTCAGCAGGTCCAACATATTGATGCATAAAGGCTCGTGGCCATAGGGGTGACTGTCTGCTGAAATCTGATTGGCCTCCCTGGTCAACCTCACCAGAACTGCCAGTCAGTTTGTTTATATTGATTAGCATTTCAGAACTTTAAGCTGCACCAATTTATTCTGAAGAAAATTTTATTTTTCCTTTTTTAATTACATGTCCCAGTCCACACCCCATGTCAGTGACGCAGAAATGCTCTTTTAATTGTTCTATAATTGCCATTAATCATAATAATAATAATAATAATAATGAGGTCTCTGACTACTGCACCAAAAGACCTATTCTTTTGATCATAAATTAAATTAAAAAGAGGTTCTAATGATTCAAAACTGTTGACTTTAATTTGATAAGTTGAACAGAGTTAAGTTACAAGCTAATCGAGGGACTGAGAAACATTTTCTTGTGCAATAAGCCTCTTTATTTAAAGCTTATTGTCATCTTAAGACTATGTATTTTGATAAAACTGCACCTTTACTGTGATATCCTCCTATAGTCTGTGACCTGCCTGGTTCTCCAGATTAAAAATAGATATTCTAGATAAATTCTCTTTGCCATCTGAGGAATTTATGCTTCTCTGGAGGGATGTGATAAAAACACTGATGGATGGGCTGCACATGTCTGATATTAATGTCATGCTCTATGAAATGAACATGTGTTGAAATATCACCATATGATGAACCAAAATCCAACATTGGCTGCATCAACTGCAGACAAATGGCTCAACAGTAGATCCTCATGAAACATCTCAGAGTTGGGTAGAAAAGCATCATCTAGAATCTGCACATCCTTGTTTAATACTGCTGTACAACTCCAATCTATTTTCACAGAAGAGACAGCTGCCTTCATCTCTTTTCCAGACTTTGACTTCAGTAAATTTACATGACAGTGCTGAGTAGGTCATTTTCTGTCTGGTGGTGGATATTTCCTGCTATAACTTTTGGTCTAATGCAGCAACATAAATGTTTAGAAACTGTTGACACCCCAGGAAGAGCTGGTGGCAGATCTGCAGCAGCTGAGCTGCATTGTAATTAACAGCAATGCCTGATTATGGACATAGTAGAGTCAACACAACTCCAGAGCCTCCCTTTCCAGCCACCATGACAGAAACACAACTGCATAAAAATATTTTTAAACAACTTGTGAATTGATCCTTGAACTGGAGTCATTCATAACAAAACAGTCTTTACACTTTCAGCCACCTTCTGTTGCAAACAGAAGAATCTAGAAACTTTAAACCCTGATCATGTAATTTAATAATTGCAGGATTAATAACTTACCTGTTACAGCACTGAGCTGCACAAGCAGTAGGACCGAAAACACAAACATAAAGATAGATCCACTTTTGCTTGTCATCCAAAAGACATCCAAAATAATCCATTTAATTTCTCCACTAAAGGAAGAAGAATGAAACTAGAGGGAAAGCATAACAACTGCAACGTCATCAACTATTATTTATTAAAGAGGCGGTATTGTGTGTTCTGCAAACACAAAGTCACAAACAAGTACCTATGTTACTTTTACAAAAGTGCTGTACATATAGATCAAAGTATAACCCAACAAAAAAACATTTTTCAGATAAATTGTCTAAATAGGTCATTAAATGTTCTGTCTTTATTGATTGATGGTGTTTTTTCTACATATAGTGGGAAAACTATTGTTGCCTTGCAACAAGAAGCTGCTCACTTTGAGAAAAATTCTGACATGCAGCTGCAAAGTAATGCCAAATAAAAGAGTTTCATTATTAAGATGTTTTTTACTTGTAATGAGCGAGAAGCTGGCACCAAAACGCAGCTTTCTCCCACTGAGGAATACATGGTATTGATACACATCAGTCGTTCTCCAAACCCGTCATTATAAGATCTAACAGAAATATCTCATCATTGCTTTGTCTTCTGCAACTCAGAGTTTTTAATGGTAAAGAATTTCTTCCTCTTCTGGACATTCAGGAGGTTCTGGGTTTTTCTACACTTATCAAATGAGTTCAGCTTAAGCAAAAATAAAGGCAATATATATAAAATATTTTTTTTACATCACATATATTGATTAAAAGAAAAACAAGTCTTCCAGGTCGAATCCAAGCTTGTGGGCTTTCTGACAGGTTCTCTCCGACTTCCTCCCAGTTCAAAAACTGTGAGTCTCTAATATGTTTAGAACTCAGCCTCCATCTAAAACAACAGATTGTTGTTTTAGAGCCACAGCAGCAGCAGCGATGAGTGAAGTGGTCAAATTTACTGAGGAGAGAAACAAGGCAAAAATAAAAACCTGTGTGCTCAACACTCATGTGCAAAAGTTACAACCAGTAAGACTGTCAATACTGCATCTATTTGCTATTTCATTTTTCTGAATACATTTACTGTAGTTGTAACTTTTAGTTTGTCTTCCAAATAGGAACATAATTATGACGAGAAGTAAAACTGAATTTTACCGTAAAGAAAAATCTACATGACTAAATAGCATTTGTTGCATTTGCTGTGTGAGTCATATATATCAGAGCAAATGAAACAGAAACAAGCTGCAACAATTGGACTTTACCTTTGTGTGTCTGATGAAGCATTGGCTTGGAAAGGTGAAGTCTCAGGCGTGATATATTGAGTGACTAGAAAAAATTCAAATGTTAAATAGTTTTTTTTTATTTTCAGAAGCAAAATAAATTTTTGTCAAGTTTTTAGATTTAACTTATATGTTCACATTGTTTCTGAAGGCCCTCTCAGAAAAATAATCTTTACTTTAATTTGACGTCCCTCTAGCGCAGCGCCCCCATGAGGCACATGCACATTTTGCACCACTGGCTTGTTCTGACTATAAAAATATGTAATTACACTTGACAAGCCCTGGATATCAGAAAATAGACCCATTGGTACCTCAGTACTATCTGTGTTTGAAAGCACCTTTAAGTTTTACTGAAGCTCATTTTCCACATTTATTAATGTTGAAAACAATTAGAGTTTATGAGTTATTCTAACTAGACATTTCCTATTTTATACACATTCAACAAATGTCCTGCTAAGACATGTTGGACTATCTCACATAAACTATGAAAAGTTTATTTTCTCCTGCGATGCCCGGGTCATTTTCTCCTCACTCTATTTCCGTTTGGTCATTTTTTACCTAATGAAGCAGAGTAACATATAGACTATTGATAAGGTCCACATGTCTAAAATTAAACAATATATTGCTTTCTTACCATTGTTCTTTATTGGACAAAGAATTACAATCACAGCAATGACCAGAACCAGAATCATCAGAACCACAGCAGCAGCAGCGATGAGTGAAGTGGTCAAATTTACTGAGGAGAGAAACAAGACAAAAATAAAAACCTGTGTGCTCAACACTCATGTGCAAAAGTTACAACCAGTAAGACTGTCAATACTGCAACTATTTGCTATTTCATTTTTTTGAATACATTTACTGTAGTTGTAACTTTTAGTTTGTCTTCCAAATAGGAACATGTGATTATGAACGAGAAGTAAAACTGAATTTTACCGTAAAGAATCTACATGACTAAATAGCATTTGTTGAGTTTTTAGTTTTCACTTTGTCCTCACCTTCGTTTGTCCTGATGTTCCTTCTCTCCAGTCTGGTGACAATATTCTCTTTAAAACCAGAACTGAAACACGCATTCATACTTTGCCCAGTCAGGAGACGGAACAATGAAAGATTCACATAAATGCTCATCTGGAAGGTCCCATCATTGTTGGGGGATCTCTCCTTTAACCAAACCATCATGAATCTCTTTTCCATCTTTCCTCCAGAACATCTCAGCTCTGTTAGGATAAAATCTTGTAGCGTGGCAGCAGACTGCAGAGGAGCCATTCCTCTGGAGGAGAGACACTGAGGGAAGATCTGAAGATAAATTAAACACTTGTAGTTATTATAAGGGAAGTTAAAACTGCAGTCTGGTACTTATACATATTGGTTAAAACTGTAACTACGTTGTGACAGTACAGTATAATTCCTATTTTGTGAAAAAAAGAGCTTCTCTGCCTTCTCCCTGTTTTATATTTGAGAAAAAACAAAACGTTGCATTAGAAGCGATAGAAGTTCAGATAGAAGCTGGTGATTTTTTTCACAGATTACTGTCACAACATGGTGACAGCTTTAACAAATATAGAGAAAACATATTTTTTATTAAAGTTATAAACTGCAGCTTGAATAAAATGCAACTACATAGCATTTTTTTGAGAAGTCGGGATTGTTGTATGTATATTTTGCACGTTGTCTGTGACTGTTGCAAGTCGGAAGAGATTTCAATGAGCTAAAACTAATAATAAAAAATGTAAGCAGCCTATTTGCTGTATTTTTTTGTGGACTGTTGCATATAAATTCACTAGTAGCAAATATTGTGCTAGTATCAGTATTGGACCAAAGAAAGCAAGGCAGTTGCAAGCCTTTAAAATTGTGATGCTTTTGATGGGTCAGATAGATTCAAGAAACTTTAACAATAATAATTATGCAGGGAGGGGCCCGATTAAAGTTTTCGTCAT